ATCTTGAATCTTTCAAGAAAATGTTCATACTCGCGACATGCGCGAACCTAAAGCAAGCTGAGGCAATCAACCATGTAACTCATCAACTAATAGGAGAAGTTCTTCATTTTGACACGTTTCATCTATATATATGGCCTATTTGAATTAGTTTTGGTTAATTACATATTTATTTTTGTTTTGCTTCAGTCACTATATTATATAGTAGCTGGCAAGAATAAAAAACACACAGGAAAAGTACAGTAGTGATTTCAGGAATGGGCAAAGTTCATGTTACTTAGGTTCCGCTCTTTTGAAACCAAAGGAAATTAAATTCTTTCATTTCAATTTTCTATAAAAGTTTCCAAAATTCCTTTCTTCATGCAAGAAAGAGATTAAGAAAAGTCACAGCAAAAGAGAAAGCAAAGGAAAACTCACTAGGGGAATGTTATACGGCCCTATCTTATTATGTGTTGTTTCACTTTATCCCGGCATAAATTCTTGTATTGACAAATTGGTTGGCCCTAGGAAGTAAGAGCACGCAAGTAGCTGATAAAACCCTTTCTTATTTGTACATAAGCCTTTTATTCATGTGATATCAGAGAAGATTTAGATGCGGTAAACATGACAAAAAACTTGAGTAAACCTGATTTTTATATATCCAATGGCTCATATTATACCACACCATCTCATCAAGGGGTGTGATACAATCTGGACCAGTGGATCTATGAAGACCAGATTTACCCAAGTGTGAGCTGCTAAACATAGCATATTCTATGAAGTTCGAAATCATGAGCCAAAAGAGTTGTTAATCGTTCACCAATTGGAAGTCATTTTAGTCAAAGTCATGTTCAACAACTTGATTACTATTATTTTAAGAGTAAATCTTATATACACTGACAGTGTATAAACTATCACCGTTTGATTCATGACATGTGTGCAAAAGTTGAATTTCAAATTCAAATTTTGCATAGTTGTCATTCATCCAACGCTGATAGTGTATACACTGTCAGTGTATGAAAGATTAATCCTTTGTGGAACTAATTACTTTTGGAGATACACAGTGCTTTTTTTTTTTTTTTTTTTTTTTATTTAAATGAAACTTTAATTGTGAGATTAAGAGTCGACAGTCAAACTACAAATCTCGCACTTTTCAGTTGGTTAATGACATTAAGTACTTTAAGGCCTTCTCCTAGTGTTCAACCCGATTTCTGTATTTGTTGGCCAGGGCCGGCCAATCTTCCTAAGTTTAAAAGGCCTAGTTTGAGAAGGCCTTAGGTGCAGGCCTGCCAACGTTGGCGTCTTGCTGATTACTTTTGGAGATAATTTCAGAAACCTCCCCTGAGGGCTATTTATTTTTTAGTTATTATTGATTTATTGTTGATTTTGATATCAAAATAAATAAATAAACAAACAAGAGCTGCTAAAAAATTAATTGATATTCAAAGCTATCAAAAATGTATTAGTAGTTTGACATTTAATCACGATGGAGACTGGGGACTGATAGTATTGTGATTTTGGTAACAAAATATAAGAGTAATGAACAAGAAGGGAAATTGAAAAATAAAAAAGTATAAAATCCATCCTTTGTACAAGCATAGCAAAGTATATAGTAAACAAAGGAGTATCATTAGAATGTTAATGTTTGTATTGTCATTTTAAATGGGTAAGAGAGGTGAGTGTAATTTTTAAAATGTCAAAAATATTAAGTGAAATTGTCGGAAACATCAGGGGAGGTTTCTAAAATTATCCCTTACTTTTACTGCATAGGTTACTATTTGGAAGGGCAAACTGTTTTATCAGTACATGGTTACCTTCATCTATTTCATTAGCGTACGAAACTACTAGAGAGAATATGATTTTTTATTTGGATCACATTTCTTTTTCTTGAACTTTCCTTTTGCTGGATCCGGGACCAAAACGGAGTCTTAGAATCTCAAACTATTCGTGCCCACGTTCATGCAGGACGTTGAGTGGGGAAAAGTGAACATGATCGAAGCAGAAAGGCGTTTGCTAGCCAATGCTTTGCTTGATTTCTCTAACCAAAGATTTGTTCTTCTCTCAGAATCATGCATACCCTTGTTCAATTTCTCTACAATTTATAATTACCTCATTAACTCGACCGAAACCTTTGTGGACTCCTACGATCTACCCGGCCCAACCGGCCAAGGCCGATACAACAAGAAGATGAAACCGGTTATCAACAAATCAGACTGGAGAAAAGGTGCCCAGTGGTTCGAAATGGACCGGGAACTCGCAATCCAGGTGGTTTCAGACCGGATTTATTTCCCATTGTTCAAAAGACATTGCAAGTCTAGTTGTTATGCAGATGAACATTATTTGCCAACTTTTGTTGGGATGAAATATGGGAGGAAAAATTCTGATAGGACGTTGACTTGGGTTGACTGGTCAAAGGGTGGAGCCCACCCCCATAGATTCAGTAGATATGAGATTACCCCTGATTTCTTGAATCGGATGAGGAATGGACAAACTTGCGAGTATAATGGGCGGAAGACCAATATTTGCCACTTATTTGCAAGGAAGTTTTCGTGGACGGCTTTGGATAGGCTACTCATGTATGCTCCAAAGGTTATGGAGTTCAACTGACAACATAGGTATAAAAATAAAGGTTCATTTTTGTGTTTGTAAGATTCTTTGGGGGACGATTTTTAATTTGTACACACAGCAATTCATAGTTTTGAGAGGGTTAGTGTCTGACTGTACGTGCATAGGTATATTGTCGTCAAATTGATGACGCTAATTGATTAGATTTCATGGTTTGTGATTCACAATGTAATCTTTCTTATTTTATAATTCTGTTACATCTAATAATTTTTTAAATTAGATATACATGTGATATGTTCTATGTATTTTTTACTATTAGTGTAGTTTTCTTTATTAAGCAAATCGTATTGAACGATTTTCAACTACTTTATTAATAATATTGGCTTCTATTTTATCCAGAAAAAAAAAAAAGATTGCAGGATGATTCTTGTAAACCAATTCAAATCGAGTAGCAATTGAACCTTTTCTCATTAACCCTCACAGAAAGTTTTAATAACTTTTTCATTTTACCCCCACATGATTTAATTAGATCAAATTTTCCTAATTTAATGTAATCAACCTAGCAACAAATCCATTGGATATTTGACGAGAAAAGAAAAAAGAAAACAATCCATTGGATTTTGTTGTGTAAAATGTATATGTTGAACAGAAAATAAATGCAATGATTTGGTTAGAAATGAGTCACATGTAGGAAAATAAAAAAAATCAAAATAAGTTCCCATTGAAAATAACTATTTGCGAGCAAATGTGCCATCATGTGCAGATAGCTTAACCCCACATTCACCAAATAATTAAATTTATGAAGTTTTTATTTGTACTTTCGTGCAAAATACGTAGGTCATATGATGAAATCGGATTTAAATTGAGACTGCTTGATTGATCTTATAATATTGTGAAAAACTGCAAACCTGAGGTGGCCAATTGATCCAATTAAATGATAAAGGAAGCAATGTTATTTAGTATTTTGGGGGTATTTATTATTATGTCTATGCTTATTCTTATGTATGTTTACCTACAGTTGGGATCCTCTATGCCACTATTCGGTGCCAAATTCAGTGTCAATTTTACTTATCACGTGATGGTAGAAGAAATTTAAATAAATAACACATGACAAATTAAATAAACAGGACACTTGACATAAATATAAAAGTGGTACTGAGTTGTCACTGAAAAAGTGGCACTGAAGATCCCGTGCAGTTTACCTAATCATGGGAGTTAAAATTCACAAACGCAAATCATTCTACCAAGTCCTCAATCTCTTCAACCTTTGTGATGCTGCTACTAGAGCATTCGTATGAAAGTAATGGGAAAAAAAACTTGAAAACTAATTGTTGGATGTTTTTAGTCTAGTAGTTAAAATTGAAATTTCAAAATTCAGAAATTTTGGATTCAAATATCCTCTCCTGACTTTTTAAATCTCAAATAGGTTTCCAACTTTCCATAAATGCGCTTGATAGAATATACGATGAAGTTGTCCGTCCAGTTCACGAAATTTCGTGGTAACTTTGGCAAGACCACCAAGGCTACTTTTGATTGCACTGACAGAGGCAGAACACCACGTAAATTCTTGCAGTCCAATGCATCGTTGATGTAGCAATCAAGTAGTAATGACTAGATTCCTATGCCTTTCTTATGCATTTCTTTCCTTTTTCTAATCTAGTCAAAATATGAATATAATCTAGTTATAATCTTCAGTAGGACATCGTTAACATCGTAGCAATATATATAAAGAACATGAACAAACCCTAATTAAAGCTGAAACGGAACATTATCGATCTGTTGCCCTCAACGTTAAACATCAAGAATAACACCAAATTTTTACCATGTCTTGTCTTGATGAATCTTATCACCTTTCTATAATCATGTTATTAATTAAGTTTCCCACTATATTTACCACAATCAGAGCAAAAGCGTCACATAGAGAAAACAAATCGCGTTATGCTTTCAAAAACACACACAAGCGCGCGCCCACACACACACACACAATCGCGTTATGCTTTAGAAAATGTCACACGTCTTCTCACAGAAACCGTGTAAAGGGTCGGACAATAACTAAGTTGCCCAAAAGTGTAAAAGGGGTGTTGATTTTTAGTGGGTCTACTTGGAAAAATCTCAATAGAGTTCAAATGATAACGACCATTCCCATCTGCCCTATCACAAATTATGTCGTTAGATGTGTGATATGTCTCCTTCGAAATTGAAGAAGTTCTTGTTCAAGGATCATGACATGTACATGCTGTAGATTATTATATCTTTTATGTTCAATTGGAAACTCAGCAACTCATGTTTAAATTCTCTAAGCTCTAAAGTAAATTAAAAATATATGTGAAAGATTGTTGTTTTAAATTCTTTTTTTTTTTTCATTTTGATTGTGTAAGAATATTATAATTTTTTTTTTTGTCAATTGTCATCCCTACTCCTACTCCTACTCTATCTACGGGGGAGGCTCAACTGAGCCTATGGGGACCGATGGGGACAGAATCACCACCGGACCAGACGGGTGCACTACGCACCCGTCTGGATTTGCAGCAGAGCCACAAGAGTGGTATTTTGGTGATTGCCTCCCACTCCATCAAAGCCTTAAGGGCTTGATGGTGGCCACCAGCCCAAGAGCTGGTGGTTGTGTAAGAATATTATAAGATTACCAACTTTAGCACATTTCATGTCCTACACGATTTTCGAAAATTAGCAAACGTGTTGAACAAATAAGGACAAATTCATTCGGGATTGTGGACTTCACCTTCTTGATAATGGGCAATTTGCGGGAGAAAAGAACAAACAGAGAAAATATCCTAAGCGCAGAATATTCACCAACTCAAACAGAAACCAACAAATCTATTAATTATTTGCCACAAACTATGGAGTTTCAGTTTCGTCTTTACTACTATTATTAGTTCATGGTTTGAAATATGAGGAATTCCTGGTACGCGCCGTTGACAAACGAACAAACCCTTCTTGTCTGTCTCTATACCAATGTCCCTTTATACTAATGAGACACCCCTTAGCTTCTTTCTGAATTATTTTTTTTCTCTCTCAAACAAAAATTGCACTCACTTTTCAATTTCTAAACAGCCAAAAGAAGAAACATGAATATCTTTTTTTGTTAAAAAAAAGTTGTACGACTTCACTGGAAAAATGCCAAAACATGGCCCAAACGGTGAGAAATTTAATGTAAAGGGATATACCCATGTCCAGTCGAACATAGGAAAATAAATGTGTGCTAAAAATAGAAAAGATATACTACAAGTTGAATTTTACGTAAAGGGGGAAAGACTCAAAATTTGACATAAAAAAATTCGATTAGGTGTTTTGGAAACAAGAATCAAGTACACGAATTGATTGATGGCTTTATAAAATTATAAAGACCTCATGAAAATGAAAGTAACGCGGATCCGCGTCATAATAAGTTTTTCTACTTTCATACGTGTACATTTGAACTCTCTCTCTCTCTCTCTATATATATCAAAAATGGTTTAAATATTGAGACGTGCCGTTCTATAATAGTATGTAATAATCAACTTTCAACTTTACTGTAATCGATTGAGTGGGACTACTCCATGCAGAGCGAAAATGCATTTTTTTTTTATTCTTGGTTGTTAGTTGATTAGGATTGTTCATTGTCTAATCAAATCCAAAAAGTATCTAACTTTTGTATCTCTAATACCAAACACTTTATAAGTTTATGTTTAATTTATAATGTATTTCATATCGCCGAAGATTATTAAATATATGACTAATGGTTTTGATATGAGTAAATCTTATTTACATTGACAATATATACAATATCACCGTTGGATCCATGATAGATGTGTAAAAGCTGGTGTCATTCATCCAAGACTGACAGTGCATATATTGTCAGTGTTGGAAAAATTAATCCTCTCGATAGAGTAAATCTTATATACACTGATAGTATATACATTATCACAGTTGGATCCATGACACATGTACAAAAGTTGGATTTCAAATTTTGCGTAGTTGTCATTTATTTAAAACTGACAGTGTATAAAAGATTAATCCTTTTGATAGAGTAAATTTTATCACCGTTGGATTTTTAAGAGGGAACAAAAATAAAACAGTTTTCTTCATTGGTTGGATTAGGGATTTCATCCACTGCTTTGTTCTTTCGTCTAAAAACTTGAGAGTTCTTAGGCTCAAATCCTTTTTCTCTGTCCAACTTCTTAAATTCCACCTTTCTCCTACTAGAAATTTAAAAAAAGAACAAAATGAATTATAGGAATCTCTCATAAAAGATCTTCATTTAATTCTGTATGATTTACATGGTACTAAAAACTAATGAACATGAAAATCACACTATAAAATTCTAGAGTGGCAGTTAACTATGTACAACCGAATGATGATAAAAACTAAGGCCTTGTTTGGTAGACAAATTTTTTGTCAAACTTGTCTGCTACAAGTTTTTTAAAAACTAGGGGCGGAGCCAGAAAAAATTCTTAGTGGGGGCAAAACTATACTAAAATTTTTTACCTACCTTTTTTCTAGTTTTTTAAGCAAAAAAAAAAATTCACCAACAAGTACAAATGATGCATATATTCCATGAAAAACATAAAAAGACAAATTCAAAATTATTAATGTAATAATAATTTTATTTCAAAAACAAACTAAACTATTTACAATTGCTCACTGCGAGTTTTTATATTTTGATAACTAATTTGGTTGTGGAAGTAAGAATGGCTCTCGGTTGTGGAGGGAAGATGAGGGACCAGTGGAGGGAAGGGAAATTGGGAAGTGAGGACAAAGGAAGTGAATGATATGATTGGATGAATTGATCAAGAGAAAGAGTAGCTAACTGCTTGGTTGTGGAAGGTAGTGGCTCTCGATTGTGGGGGAAAAATGGGGGACTAAAGGAGGGAAGGAAAATTGGGGAGTGGGGCCCAAAGAAAGTGAATGATATGATTGGTATTTGCTAGTTAAAATGAAAAGGCTTTTTTTTAGCTTATTTAAATGGAATTTGTGCTCAACGTATCTTTTTAGAATTTTAGTTTATGAATTAACTTAAAAAATTACGTAATTCTTTCACATCCTTTCTAAAAAAACTCTGGGGGCACACTTAAAATTATATAAGTATTATAGGAATTTAAAGGGAGCAGTGGGGGCCGTGCCCCCACCTTAAATCCGTCCCTGTTAAAAACGTTAGGTACAGTAACCTCAAAAAACTTTTTAAAAATTTTAACTATACACTTCAAAATATTTAAAAAAAACATATTTCAAAAATTTTTTAAAAAGCTTCTACAGTACGTTATAGTAAAGGGCCTGTTTGGAAGCCAGGTTTTTAAGGACCCCAAAAAACTTTTCTAAGTTTTTTACCTACACACTTCAAAATACACAAAACACACACAAAAAAATTTCTTTCTTTTTTTTTTCTTCTTCTTCCCCTATCCCAACCCACCATCACCTCCGTCGCCGACCACCACCTCCGGCGCCATTTCCTTTTTTTTTTTTCTGCCTTTCTTCCTCTCCCCGCCATCTTCCCCTGCCATCATCTCTTTTTACCTAGTTTGGTATGACCCCTTTTTTTTTAAAAAAAAATTCCCTTCCCCACTCCTCCCCCATCACCCTTCCCCTTCCCCTCTGGCCGATCTAGTAGCGAGGCTAGATCGCACCGGGGAGGGGGATTTTTCCACGCACCAGATTGCGGGGAGGGAGAGGAGAGGGGAAGGCTGAAAATTGCAAAAAAAAAAAAAAAAATTTTACTGGCTCGTGAAGGAGGTGTGCGTTGACTGCCAAGCGAGGGAAGAGGGAGGGGGAAGGGTAGAGGGGAGGAGAAGGGTGGCATTGGAGGAGGTGCTAATGGAGGAGCCGATGGTGGTGCTGGAGTTGGAGGAGGTGCAGGTAGTGGTGGTGGTGCTGGTGGTGGCGTTGGAGGAGGTGCTGGTGGAGGAACATGTGGAGGTGTTGCTGAAGGAGCAGGTGGTGGTGCAGGAGGTGGGGCTGGTAGTGGAGTTGGAGGTGGAACAGGCGGGAGAGTAGGAGGAGGGGCTGGTGGAGGCATTGGTGGTGGTGCCGGAGGTGGAGCAGGTGGAGGCGTGGGAGGAGGGGCTGGAGGAGGCCTTGGCGAAGGTGCTGGAGGTGGGGCCGGTGGCGGAGTAGGGGGTGGAGTAGGCTGCGTTGCTACTAGGAGGCAGAGGTCACGGGGAAGGGGGAGGGGGAAGGAAGAAGAAGAAGAAGAAGAGAGGAAAGAAAATAAAAAGGAAAGAAAGAAAAAGAAAAAGAAAGAGAAAGAGAAAAAGAAAAAAAAAAGAAAAGGAAAAAAAAGTTTTTCACCTTACAAAAAACTTCTACAAAATTTTTTCAAAAACTTTTACAGTGCACTACAGTAAAGTTTTAGACAAACTCCCAAAAAACTCAGGTTCCAAATAGGTCCAAAGTTTTAGACAAACACCCAAAAACCTCACTTGCTAAACGGGCCTAAGTGCTGACGACCAAGACTTCAAGTTTGCTAATGTTTGTTATAAATTGTAATAACCTAGACTACAAAATCAACACACAGATTCATATATCTGGTCAAATCGCTTTTCATAACCACATACAATCTCCTCTCATTTTGTTGGAAACTACACAATTTCCTTGCCTCCCAAGCATCTTCCTCATAATTTCCCTAGACTACCTTTTCTCTTGTCTTGCTCTAAACTAATTCTTGCTTCAGAGAATGAGAAGTTCTTAAGAAGACTCGCACTTTGCCAACAAATAATGGGTTAACAGATCTGCACCGTTATATCACCGTTATATGTGTTTGCAAATACTTACCATGCGCTTGTCATTTTATATCAAATGCAAAAATGTTTTCCAGAGAATAATGAGACTAAACCAAAATTTAGCAAAAACCCCATGTGATGTCGAGAATTAAGATGGGTTAGGTTAGCAAAGAAACAGAGTATGCTTAAAAAGAGGGAAGGGACAAGTTGAATGATTGAGTCAAAAGAGGAAAAACACGTCCCACATCACTTCAATGTAGCATTTGATAATCAGAATCAAGTACGATGAATAGTGTACTGTACTGATGTTTCATAGTTTGATTTAGACTCAACGCAAAAGAAAATTAAAGTAACGCGCATCCGCGTATACATATTCTGTCCGTTTTCCTTGTACCTCTATGACGAACAATTTATGGTTTAAATATTGGGCCATACCTGTCTTAATTATGAGTGACACGCAGTCTTCCAAATCTCTATATGCTGGATTGAGCATCATTTTTCAACTCTTGCTTTGCTATTTTAGACTCCAACCAATTGAAGAAATCCAACAAGTATCGAGTTTTCGTGTGTTTTGTAGGAGACACTTTGCTTATTTGTGACTGTACCTATATGTATTACGTATGTTGGACTCAATTAATTTAATTACTTTTGTCAGAGAAAGAGAGGAAATTAATTATATGCGTTGCTTTGTTCAAGGGACTTATTCGGAGCAGTTGTAAACCATTGGCAAGAAACTGTAACAAAAAATGTTCTTTCAATCCTGAAATTTAGGGCTGTAGAGATAGCAGAAGTTAATTAACTTAGGGAATCGCTACAAATTAGGATGAAAATTCTTACGATCTAATAATGATTAATGAAAGCCAAACAGTTGAAGACCAAGACTTCATGTTTGCTAGTGTTTGTTATTGTAGGATAGATAGTAATCACCTAAATTAATTATAGGATACGAGTGTGATCCAACCAAATGACTTTTACGAACTACCAAGAATTTCCTCTCATCTTATTAGAAACCACCACTTTCCTAGTATGTCAAGTATCTTCCTCATAATTTCCATTCACTTCCCTTTTCTCTTGAATTATTGTCTACTTCTATCCTAACTTGTACAAGCATGAAATACGTAGGTGCTAATTGCAACATATACTGTGTATAATTTTGATAGAGCTATTACAAAATTGGGTCTGTCTAATGGACAGTCGTTAAGATATATATTAAGTGTCATATTTTTTAAAATATAAGATTAATTAAAATAAATAAATAAATACAAGCAAGAGTATGTAAGATTAAATAGCGACAGTATTTGAAGGTATCCTATTTTTTAAAAAGTAAGATTAATTAGAAAAAGTAAATAAAACAAATAAGAGTAGGTAAAATTAATTAGGAATGGTATGTAAATACAAGAAAAAATAATAATTATTAGTATATATATATATAATAATTTTAATAAATTTTAGATGTATTAATGAAACACCCGTTAGAAAAACACTTACAAATTTGGTCTATCAATGTTTTGGATCTCGGGGCCTGAAGTATTAATTCACCATTTAAAGCTTAAAACAATTGCCCCTGATCAGTGCCCTTGTCCCTATTTGTGTGTGTATCAATGTGTGTATAGAGTGTGGTTTTTGGGAGCGAGGGTTGACTCAGACATCAGTTGACGTCAAAGTCGTTACATCATCAAAACTAGTAAACTTAGCTCATTTCATAGCTACGATCCTACCTCGCTGGTTCTTCCATCGTTCCTGGAAATTTCTTTTTACAATATTTTGTAATAGTAAATCGCGAGTATTATACCCTTTTTGCCCTTCATCAGGATGTGAGAGAGAGAGAGAGGTACTTGCCTTTAAGTATTCCAAATCCTTCCTCAAAATCTTCTGCCCTCTTCTCCCCTTTGTTCTTATCTCTTTCTCTCAGCAGTTGTCAGTTACACACCTACGCTGCACCAGAAATCATTGGAATCATTTCCTGAAGAATGGCTGCCAAACGGTTGTTTGATGATTCCGACAATGATCATTCCGACCAATCTAACCCCAAGCGCATCAAAACTACCAAACCAACTTTTGCTTCGTATGTTCTACGTTTTATTCTTGATTTATCACATTTTATTCTTCATTTCAATCACAAGAAGGTCTAATATCTTGAGTTTAAAAATGATCCCATCTTGTTTTGGTATTGTTATTTGATCTAAAGTTTGAAATAACTTTTTCTTCTCCTTTTGTTTTGATCTAACAGTGTGATTAAAGAGGTGGTTACACTTAATTTCTTGGAGAACTTCTGCTCATCTTTAGAGCCAATGCTCAGAAGAGTGGTATGGTTGTTAGCTCTCATTTTTCATCAACTACCTGATCTAGTTTACCATTCTAAGTTCTTCGAATCAATAATATTTCCTTGAAATTCATCTTGATCGATCTTTTTTTGTTTTTCTTAGTTCTATGACTTCTCTTAGAAAGTTTCTTCAAGTTAATTACATTAAGCAAAAACCACCAACATCTCTATGGTTTGATAAGGGATAATTTGGACGTAGCAATACAAAAAGACCGAAGAAATGTTACTATAGTTTTCAAAATTAAAAGGCACAGATAAACAATTAAACATCAAGGGAGGCCAATATAATTTAGGCATTGGTTTACCGTTTTTATTCCTCATGAATAACGGAGCTTCATATGACAATTGTATCAGGTGCATGAAGAGGTGGAAAACGGGCTAAGACGCAATCTTCGATCTCTAACAAAGGCTCCATCACTTCGAATCCAAGCCATTGATGAGCTACCGACCCTACAACTGATATTCAACAAAAAGCTTTTACTCCCAATATTCACTGGAAGCAAAATTACAGACACCGAAAGCAACCATCTTCAAGTCGTCCTCGTTGACACTAGAGGTGACGGAAAGGTCCCAGCATTTCTTCCCTGCTCCCTTAAGATTGAAATCGTGGTTCTGGATGGCGACTTCCCCGCTGGGGACAGTGAAAATTGGACTAACGAAGAATTCGACAAGCATATTGTGAAAGAAAGAACTGGGAAGAGGCCTTTGCTTGCTGGAGAATTGAATGCCATCATGAGGGATGGATTGTGCTCGTTTGGTGATATTGAATTTACTGACAATTCGAGCTGGATTCGGAGTAGAAGATTCAGGCTTGGTGCAAAAGTGGTTCAAGGGACCAGTGCTGCCGGTCAAGTTGCCAGAGTTCGACCTGCCATGTCTGAATCCTTTGTTGTCAAAGATCACCGTGGTGAATGTAAGTTTATTTTCCCCTTCTCTAATTACACATTCTTTTATTCCAAATTCCCATTTCCTGCTTTAATTTATGTATTTTTTTTCTTTAATTTGGATTGATGGGGTAGGTACTTACACCGTTCGTGCATGAAGATAATTCTTAATGCAATACTTAATCTTTATTGGTTTTGAAAACCCTAGGACTTAAATGGTATTACATTAAAATTTCCTTTCCAAGAAAGTAAAATCATTATTGTGAAGAGTCTTAAGTAGGTTGCTGCATTGTCCTACCTTGTTTCATTTTCCAATTCGCAGCCTGCATTTGTTTAGCCGCGTTACATTTATTGAAGGGACAAAATTATAAACTGTAACCAAACCTTAACACCCGAGAGCATGCAGCTTCTGAAAAAGAACAGAAATATGAATGATGCATCTAACATTCGACTTTGTTCAACAAATCTTGTTCTAAGTTCTAACTAGGGGTTACATGTATGGTCCTTGTTGCTGCTCCCTCTGCCTTTAATTAGACTCAGATTTAGAACTTAAAAATGGTTTTGTTGTCACGCAGTGTACAAGAAACATTATCCACCATCACTAGATGATGATGTATGGCGTCTGGAAAAGATAGGAAAAGATGGAGCTTTCCACAAGAAACTATCTGCAGAAGGTGTAAACACTGTGCAAGATTTCTTGAAGCTCAATGTCATTGACCCCCAAAAGCTTAAAAAGGTACTGCAAAAGCATTTTATATTTATGCAGACATTATTATAACTATGGGATTTGTCTTATGTTAAAAAAAAAAACAGAAAAGAAAAAACCTGCACATTTGCTAACTTGGATCTTTCTTGTATGCGCCAAACTATATTAATGTGTTATACCATACTATATTACTGATGGGACTTGATTGACTTGAAAGTGTTTTTATTCATATGTTATGCATACCTAACTCGTTACTAATTTATTCACTTCTTTATCAGTCCAAAACACAAGAAACATACAACAAATACGCAAGTTTTTTTTTGTACAGAAAATTAGTGTTTCATCAACATATATAAAGTGGAATCATTTCTTTGGATTCAACAGATACTTGGACTTGGGATGTCGGAGAAGATGTGGGAGGTGACGTTGAAACATGCGTGGACTTGTAACATGGGGACAAAGCTCTACATGTCCCGGGGATCCAATTACATAATCATCCTTAATCCAGTTTGTCAAGTTGTTAAGGCTGTCATCAATGGACAACATTATGTTCTTCGTGATTTAAAGATGATGAATAAGGTATGACAAAGATTGATTATATTCTTAATCACATGTATTCATTCATAGCTGTTTTTTTTTTTTCTTTTCTTTTCTCGTCGGAAAGCTATTACGATTAGTGCATCCATAATTTGGCACTAATTAAGTTGCTCGCTATCATCATCAGGGCTATGTCGAGAAGTTGGCCCAAGATGCTTATGCAAATTGGAAATCTTTGGAAGAAATCGAAGGTCAAGTTAACGAGACTGCATTATTAACCATGGGTACGTAACTCACCATGGTCTTATATATGATGATAGTGAGTTATTTTGAAAGGAAAGAATTTGTTGACAATTGAATCTCGTGATGCAAAAACAGGTGAAATTGGGGACCAAGTTCCAAATCATCAACAGCCAAAAATGGGCAGTTCTTATCAGGGTGGACAAGCACTTTTGCTTGATGGATCCACAAATCAGATGGCATCAATTGCAAACAATGAACAAGTGACCTATAATGACTGGGGTCTCAATTGCAGCTACCTGTGGACTCCCGCGCAGAACAGTGGCCGCTATTTCCCCGAGTCCTCCTCCGAGGGTGACTTGCATTAAAATGGCTGGTTATACCATTTGTGCCGAGGCTCAAGATGCAGCAGTTGTACATAATTATCAAGTCTTTTTTTTTTTCTGAGCAAGTAGAAACTTTTAATTTATGCCACCCCTTTGTAAAATGTTGTGGTTTGGCATTAGGATTGTTTTTTTTTTTCTGATGGAGAGTTCCTAGTAATGTGATGCAGTCAACTGTCATTGATCTTTTTTCTTCTTGTACAAAGGAGAAGATCAAATAGTTAAATCAATAATTTGTACGAAGCAAGCAAATAAATCAGATATTTGTCCCTTTGTACATGTTGAAAATTGATCTAATACACCAACCTTAACTGATGAGTGTCTCTTTATTGCAATTTCTCGAATTCGATTGCAATTTATTGCAAATAAAGTATTAGAAGATGTTTTTGAAGACTTAGGTTGGGGTGTTATCCTACAACAATTAATGAGTTTTAAAGAGAGGGGGGGGGGGAATTTTTCTCTTGGGCTAACTAATTGTGACTGCTAGGAAAAAACATCATCGATATCTCAAGGTAACTGTTGGGGTAGAAATTCCCAACAACATCGAGCATTGGTATCAGAGTCCGATTAAAACAATTTTACCTAACAAATTATTGGGTAATCCGGTTGATAATCTTAAAAAATTATCCACTGTCCCATATAAATTAATCTTGTAGAGTGAGAATGTCCAATAACACCTTTAACACCTGGCAATCCAATTTTGGACTAACTTCATATGCAAAAAAGGTGGTGAGGTTTAATCCTGTAAATTTTTCGATGCACAAAGTTGTAATATTAGGGGGGCCAGAAATAAACCAAGCAAAAGTTAAATAAAGTGGCATAAAGAAGTAAGGGACTCAATGTAAAGCAAGAAATAAAGTTGGTCAAGTAAAAGAGAACACATATCCGGGCTTTTGGTTACCCCATCAAGAAAATTCAAACAAGTTTCGCTGGCAACTTTTGCTTTAGTCAATTCCTTGTCTTCCAGCCTTTTTCTCAGATGTTTACAGACAAATTAATTTCGCTTTTCCTTTTTGGAGCCTAGTAAATTGATCAGGATAATACTTTTTTCTCTTATGACATAATAGATTCTATTCTATACTTACTACTATTTTACATCAGGAGGAGGAGGATCTAAAGACATCAAAGAGAAACTCGATAAGCTACTGTCGGCCCAGACGAGTGCCTACGAAATTGTTGGCGAAATTTTCAAAAAAATCTGCATTTTCGAACATAAGGCAAGGGTTAGGAGAATGCTTGTTTGAGTTAAAAAAAAAAAAAAGAACTAGCCCTCCCTGTCATTGGATCGTACGAAGAGTCTCTGCTTTCTACGCTCTTTCCAGCAAGTTTAATTGGAACTCGAACCGTGGTCCGAGATTTTCCCCATTCTTGTTTTTTCGGATAATTAATGCGGAGGGTCATCGAACGTCACAAGTCACAACTTAATATAATGAATAATGAGTACTAAAATTTATTATTTAAATACAAAAGAGATGCTAATATTCACCACCCAAGCACAAGGCTTTGTTTGGATTGCGGTTTTTCGTCGGAAAATTACATCGTTTTCCGTGATCACATTTCCCTATTATCTTTTTCCCTCACATACATCAAATCGCTACAGTATTTTTTCCATGAAAAATCATGAAAAATGCAATCCAAACACAAACTCTAAAAAAAAAAAAAAAAAAAAAAAGGTCAGTGAGCAAGTGCTCAACATTTTTTTTCTTCTCCTTTGAACGGATAAACTACTTAACTCAATCCAACCCAAATTTCCTCTAGCTATTTTGGACCTACAACACGAAAGAGGTAATTTCTTTCTTTCTTTTTTTTTTTAGGATATTATCATGGTTAAAGTTTTAGAGGGTTTATTTGTTCCCAATTTGATCTGTCCTAAGTAAACCGTTTCGGGTTTATTTAGTGGTTTAAATGGTTCATTTTCTTCTCTTTTTTTTTTTTTTCTTCTCATTTTCTTCTCTTTGCTAGGGGTGCTTATTTGCAAATTTGCATGGTCAAAGTTCGTATTGAATGAAATCGTGTTCCAGTAGACTTGAAAGTTTGTCAAACTTAATAAATTCTCAACAAACACGTTTTTATTTTTCATATTTGTTGGTGTGAAATTTCTACCTTATTCTTTGTTAAATTACATAACACAGTAAATTATAAAGCAAATTATCCGACAAGATACTAAACTTTACAATTTCCTTGGATTGCAAGTTATTTGCCCAAATATATTTGCTGACATCACTATTACAATTTCCAATACACCTTTTTATCTTCCCAATTACCTTTTTATCTCACATACATCACATCACAAAAAGTGCTACAGTAAAAATATCTCAAATAACTTACAATCCAAACACACTCTCTAGAGTTTTGATCATTCAACTTTTAAGATCATGTATTTACCCACTAAAATATCAAAAGTATATATTTTGAGTCATTTCATCTATTTTCATCATTAAATCTACCATATTTAAGGATCGCACGAGTCACGAGACATAATTATATTTGCAGATTTAACAATAAAAATAGATGGAATGACCCAAAATTTATATTTTTGGTATTTCAGTGGATAAATACGTACTTTTAAAAGTTCAATGATAAAAAAATTTTAATCAAAAAGTTTGAAGGCTACCTAGGTAATTTGCTCTAAATTATATTACACAAACTCGATTGAGGTAGGTTCGATCGAGTCCAAACTCAAGATTGAGTAAATTAAAACTATTATCGAACTTGACTAATGATCTACTCAAGCTCGATTCAATTTGTTTACCCCCCTGCTAGTCCATGTGGGGAGAGGAAGTGCTGCATACGGAAGTTTCAAAACATTGGCGACAGAGTATGAAGCTAAGCTCATTCATTATAACAACATAGTTTTCCATTTGATATCGAAGGTTAAATGAAACACAAATTTCTGCTGAAAAGTAAGTCCATATTCACTACCAGACCAGGTGGCTGTCGGTCAGAAATTCTGCCCCTTATACCAGAATCCTTACTGTTGCGCATTTCATTTACTCGTTGACAAGAGAAGACTAGTGTCGGTCTTCTCCTGTTAAAGTGCCCATCTATAATTCTTGAAGAAAAATGAGTGCTGCTTCAGTTCGTTTCCTAAAATCTAAGATGAGTACCGTTCAACTCTTTGCTTCTTACAATTTGCAAATGATGTTTCCAATTATCAGCAGTCTCATGATCTCAACCATGATTCAATCCTCTTATTGCATTAGCAATGAATCCTCCTGTGACGGATTGTTCTATAACTGTGGAAACCTACAGGGCATAGCTCATCCTTTCTGGGGGGGAAATCGACCTGAATCATGTGGGATCCGTCATTTTCAGCTGCAATGTGTAGAAGAACAGCAAACCCTGATTCTTTTTGATGATATACAAAAGTTCAGGCTCCTAAACATCGATCAGCCTGCTGGAAGTATGACTCTTGCACGCACCGATATCTGCGACAATGCATGTCCACAGGGATACACAAACATTTCTTTGCCAACAGACGGTTTTCTCAAGTACAAGGAGCAAACTGTTAGCAATCTCACAATTTACTACGGTTGCAGCTTGGATCTTACATCACTTGGCTGGGATAGCAGTTCGAATCAGCGCAGTACAACACAACTGACAACTTTCACAGTTGCTGCTATCAGCAGATCACGAACTCGATAGCAAGCAGAGTTTGTTTTGCCGATTTTCATCCACATAGCCAAGGGTGTAGTTCTCTTGCCGTAGTTCCAGTTCTTAAGGAAGCTTCTGACGAACTCTGGGCCTCGAAAGACCTACTGTCAGCTGCAGAAGCTCTATTGCAAGAAACTATCAATCAAGGTTTTGATGTTGAGTACAGGGAATTAGTAACTGCCTGCTTAGGTTGTGTGGCTTCTGGAGGAAACTGTGGATCTAACAAAGATCGACAAGTTAATTGCTACTGTCAAGATCAAATCCACCCAACAATATGTCCAAATTCACCTGTATATTATGGTTTTTCTACCTTCTTTACGGTCAATCGTGCTTTCTGTTCTGTTGCATACTAGTAAAATCTTTTATTCTTTTGGAATTCTTTTTAGATTTCAATAGGATATTTAATATAGGAACAAATCAAGATTACCCAACTGTCCAATCAACATGTTATTAATGAAAGTGTAATTATCAATTTTTCCTCCCGTCACAGGAAATCAGTCTTCTGGCTCCCCTCCTAGCAACCATGGAAACAATGATCTTCTAGTGAAGAAGCCAGTAGTAGGTATGAAATTACTCTCCTTCGTATTGTCGTTAATTTGTTTTGCTAACGTTCTAGCCTTCTGACTCACAAGCTGAGAATACCGCATTTCTTTGATTCCTTTTGCAGATGGAATAGTAATAGCAGGAATAATACTAGTAGTTGGCATCTGTATAGCTATCTGGTGCTGTAAAATCAAGAGAGGGCAACATGGCCGAGCCATTTTGTTACCATTTAAAAGAATTTCGAAAGGTTTCCAAAATCTTGACCAATTGATGGAGCAACATGGACCTCTGGCCCTAAGAAGATACAATTATTCAGATATTAAAAAAATGACAAGCTCATTTAAGGATAAACTTGGAGAAGGAGGATTCGGCGAAGTCTACAAGGGAAATCTTTCCAATGGTCGGGATATTGCAGTAAAGATCCTACGAGAATCCAAAAAAGATGGAGAAGCGTTCTTCAATGAGGTCTTAAGCATTAGTAAGACTTCCCATGTCAACATCGTCACCCTTCTGAGATTTTGCCTGGACAGGCAAAAAAGAGCTCTTGTCTATGAATACATGCCAAATGGATCTCTAGACAAATATATCCATGGAGAAACTGCAACTAAGACTGAAAATCACCTGGGATGGGAAACGCTTCATCGGATTGCAGTTGGAATAGCTCGAGGACTAGACTACTTGCATAAGGGGAGCAACACTCGAATTTTGCATTTTGACATAAAACCTCATAACATTCTTCTGGATGAAGATTACTATCCTAAGATATCTGACTTTGGGTTAGCACAGCTATGTACTAAAAAAGGAGGTATCGTATCAAACATAAGAGCTAGAGGAACTCCAGGTTATACTGCCCCAGAATTTGGCAGCAGGGACTCTGGAGGAGCTTCCGAGAGTCTGATGTTTATAGCTATGGAATGATGCTTATGGAAATGGTTGGAGGAAGAAGGAACATTGAGGTGGATGTAAGTCGTATAAGTCGAATCGATTATCCCTCTTGGGTTTACCAGCGCGTGGTGCTTGATGAATTGACTTGGAACTACAGGGCATCAAGACTCGAGAAGAAGACGAAATGGCAAGGAAAATGTTGCTAGGTAGGTTTGTGGTGTATACAAAAAGATCCGTCTAAAAGGCCAGAAATGAGCAAACTGCAAAGTGATCGAAATGCTCGAAGGTAGTTTGCAGGCCTTAGAGAAACCTCCAAAATCTTTTGATGGTGGTATTTCTTCTCCAGTTCTGCAATAGACTAACAGAATTGTTTAAACCCATCAAATTTCTTTTACATTTTTGTTCAACGTCTCCTCCATTAGTTATATAATGTACTGATCACATAAATTCACCGGCAAGCATGGTTCGAAGTCTCGGCCCCTACCGATATGATACCGTGACGAAACGATACCGAAATACTTGACTCGCCGAGAAATCGGCCGAGTCGTCACCGCGACGGATTGACTCGGCCGAGTCACACCGAGTCACTCCGAGTTATCCCGAGTCAAGACGAGAAATCAGCCGAGTCACACCGCGACGGATTGACTTGGCCGTTTCTTTTACTATTTTTTTAATTATTTTTATTTAGCATACTTTTTTATATTATTAACAATTTTTAGAATATTAAATACTTTAAAATTTGCGTCTCACCAAGACCACGACCGATATGCCGAGACCGATATGGAACGTTCCGGGCCGTGACCGCGACCGTGACTTTGAACCATGATTATGCGGCAAGGACTCATCAAAGTTGTATAACGTCTGCTCCTCCAAAGTTCAAAACTATAGGGGAAGTTAATATCTGACAAACTCTTGACATTAGTTTGTACATCAAAATTTCGATCGCACGAAAGGTTAAAGTGCCTACGTTTTATATTGTTATACATATCAGAATAATTTGATCCGTTATTTCACATATATGTCAGTGGCCCTTCTTATCAGTGTCATGATCAGTAGATTGGCATAGCGAACATTGGCTCAGTAGCTGGCACCGACTTGCACGTCATCTTTGTATTTGCAAGTCGAAGAAAACAGCATCCTATCCGAACAAGTTAGTAGTTAAGAAAAGTCATCTGCTAGCATCTTCGACATCTTAAAAAGGGATTAGATTTTATAGTACCAGAGATGGTATATCTTGATGAATGAAATGGACAAATGCATGTGGATTTTGAAGGACATAATCAAAAGAGTAACCTAAAACAAAGCATCTTTCTTCCTTTAGGGGAAAAAAATTTTTGCGCTACTGTCCTGGGCTAGTTGCGGGCACACCATGTATTATTCCCTTTGCGGTCTACCTTCGGAGCCAATCTCAAAGACGATCACCAGCAGTATTTGGAGTCAAACAAGTAGGAGTATTATATTAGAGAACCAAAAGGCAAGTTGACGCTCAATTTCTTGCTAATTTAATGCAAAGTCAAGTCGTGACCGTGTGGGTCATCAAAAATGAGTTAGGAACTGTAAGATCTGGTTACAGTATTAGACTATTAGTACAACAAATCATGAAATAATCAAGATTGAATTCCAAAGAGTCATAGGAGGAAAGGATTATTGCTATTTGGGTTTAAGTTCAGCTTTATCTATCAGCCTTTCCTGTTTCAGTTATGAGCATTGACCATTTTCATTCATCTATGACGAATTCACAATTGATTTTCTTTATCTTGTCCGTCATTTCATTTTGTTATTCTGCCAAGGGTGACCAATTCAAAAACTGTAGTCTTCTTTACAATTGTGGAACCTTAATGGGCATAGGATATCCTTTCTCGGGAGGTGATCGGCCAAACTATTGTGGTCGCAGAGGCTTCGAACTGTCCTGTGCGAATGACCAGTACACACATATTTGGTTTGATCTTGTAGCCTACCGTGTATTAGGAATTGATCCACTAGTTCGAAAGATGACAGTTGCTCGGCTTGATCTTTGGGAAGATATTTGTCCGGTATCAGTTAATCGAATTAAAGATTCCACCTTGTCAAAATTAAATCCCGGTTCAGACAGAAGGTTTAGGAATATCCACATTTTCTATGGTTGCACTTCTGAGGTTATTGCCAAAGTACAAATTCAGAGTAATGTGTCGTGCTCAATATTTGGAGAGAACAGTGGTGTCTTTTTTGCAGGTGAATTTGTATCTAGTGCTCCTGGATGTACGACCAGCATGGTTGTTTCCATTCAGTTTGCAGCTTATATTGATCTCTGGGACAGAAAAATAACACTTCAACAAGCTCTTAAACAGGGAGTTGATGTGGAGTATGATACCTTGGAAGCTTGCTCATCATGCGAGGCTTCGGGTGGTAAATGTGGATCTGATTCAACTTACGAATTTATTTGTATCTGTCAAGATCAATCCCATCCAAAGGTTTGCCCTAAACATGGTATGTAAGGGTTCCTTTCTTTTATCTTTTTTTTTTCATGCGTTCATTTTGGTTTTGCGTTCTTGTGTTGCTGTCTTTACTGACCTCTGTTATAAACTATCGTTGGGAATGGCAGTATGATTTTGACCTTACACAACATTACTTGAAAAACTTAAATTTTAAGTGCAAATGAGATACTGAGAACTGAGAAGATTCAAGTAAACACAAAACGTTAGAGACAAATTAGCACCTCCTCTACCGTAGAGATTGCTAGTACTCAACTTTATGCCTTTCCAGATATATATTAGAAAAATCTAAAAGGCATTCCAAATTGAAGACACAGCAGCAGTAGACTGATATTCTACAAAGAAATCGAATTCCTTTCAGTCTGGACTTCTAGTAACTTATGAAAGGAGACTAATCTGGTGCAAAGAGTGGTCTTGGATTGTAGATACAGGTGTGTCCCACTCAGTGATGCTACGAGCACTAAACATGTCCTTCAAGCTAATTGCTATTGTGCTCGCTAGGAAATTATCCAAATGAAATGAATAAAAATCTGACTACGTAAGCATAATATCAAGAATTGCTCTAAAGTTCAGAAAAAATGATATGTTTAAGCATCAGAATCTGTCAAAATGAGTAATCTAGAAAATTGTTGCTTTGTCCTGTTTATCACAATGTTGAGTTCCTGGTATTTATAGCAACTTGGTCAGCATGACTAAGATGGTTCGTGTCTCTTTTGCCACTTTTTGTTGAGCAAGCGAGAATCTGTTTTGCTACATGGTGATTTAGTTAATACACATGGAGGGACATGAAGAAAACCAATAAATAGAAAGAAACCAATCTTTGCAGTCTTCGCTCTTCCTTATGCATGTTTTATTTGCCTTGCAGGAAAGGGGCGTTGGTTGAAGCGGATGATTGGTAGGTACCTCAACAATTTTTTCTCTTAATTGCCACCGACATTAAAAGAATCTCAAGCGGTGTCCCTTTCTCTGCGTGCAGGAGCTATAATGGCTGGAATAGGAATACTATCCTGTTCAGTAATCTGCTATTGTTATTACAAAAAATATTCAAAGAAAACTGCGCTTTTCTTGTTTTCAAGAAAAACAGATGATAAAGAACTCGAAGCCTTTCTTGAAGAACATGGATCTCTCGTACCTAAAAGATACAGCTACACTGATATCAAGAAAATGACACATTACTTCAAAGAGAAACTTGGTCATGGAGGATATGGTGAGGTCTACCGAGGAAATCTTTTTGACAAGCGTCCAGTGGCAATAAAAGTTTTAAGTATGACCAAAGGAAATGGAGAGGAATTTATTAATGAGGTTGTAAGCATTAGCAAAACTTCCCATGTTAATGTGGTCAATCTTGTTGGATTTTGCCTTGATGGTCGTAAAAGAGCTCTAGTGTATGAATTCATGCCAAATGGATCACTTGAAAAGTATATCCATCATGACAGCAAGTCCTATTTGGGATTGGAAAGGCTGCATGAAATTGCTATTGGAATAGGTCGAGGGCTAGAGTACTTGCATGGAGGATGCAACACGCGCATTTTACACTTGGACATAAAACCTCATAATATTCTGCTTGATGAAGAATATTGTCCTAAGATATCTGATTTTGGGCTGGCGAAACTATGTGCTCGAAATGAGAGTGTTCTATCGATGTCAGGAGCTAGAGGAACCATTGGCTATATTGCTCCTGAAGTGTTCAGTAGGAACTTTGGTGGAGTCTCCTATAAATCTGATGTCTATAGCTATGGAATGATGATCCTTGAAATGGCTGGAGGAAGGAAAAATGCAATAAACGTTCAATTAAGCAATTCAAGTGAGGCATATTTTCCAGATTGGCTATATGATCGAGTTCTGATTGATGAAGACCTAAAACTGCATGGTCATACTATGACAAAAGAAGAAAATGACATTGCAAGGAAGATGATATTGGTAGGCCTATGGTGTATACAGACTAATCCATCGCATAGGCCGAAAATGAGCAAGGTTATTGATATGCTGGAAGGTAGCTTAATGTCGTTGGAAGTTCCCCCAAAACCATTCTTCTCTTCACCTTCAAGATCAGAAGGAGGATCTTTGGAGATGACATTGCTGCCACAAACAATTTTACCTACCTCTTCTAGTTCACCAGCTGATTCTGGCACCAGATAAGCATAAATCACACTTTTAATGTATTTTTAAGCCTAAAGTAGACACTTCAGTATATATGCTAGTCTTTGAAGCATCAAAAAAATTTATGCAACACATGGATGCAGACTTGGAAAGTTCATCAGTCGATGAGAACTTCACAAATTCAGTCTGCAATGATTGTATCTGCTGAGCACTGGTAAGCACAAGAAAATTGACTGGATGACAAATATGTCTCTGGTTTTTCCGGGCTTCTGGGATTTAACATTCAAATCAGATAGGAGAAAATTCCTATAATTTGTAACTCTATTATAGCAACGAGGAAGATTTCGTAAGTCTGCAGCCCATAATTTGGGTCAGACTTGTATATTTAAATACTATTAACTTGCCATTTGCAAAAACTTCGATTTCGTTCACAAATTATACTTGTGCTTGAGCAGTAAAGCGATGGGTACTTATTAAAACCAACACGGCAGGAGGACTGGGTTGGCGGTTCAATCGCGGTTCAAGTAGTTGAACCGTTGGATCACACTATATAATAAAATAAATATATAAATTATGATATAAGTTCATACACACAAGCCATACTCATACGTGGTTCTAAGTTCATAAATTCATATTGATATTATACACAAACATAAATGATAAATCTATGTGTAAAAGAAAGAAAGAAACCCTAATTTCCAAATCTTTTTTAGATTTTTCTCATCTAATTGGCTGCATAATGTCGAAAAGACGGCAATGCTCATGCTAGTGTAACTAGTCAAATTAAAAAATTGGGTAAAAAGGTAATTTCAGGAAAATTTTTAAAACCCGATGGGTTCATCAATAACCACCGGATTTGACAGGTCACTGATTCGATCACTCAAGTCAAACGGTTCCAAGCGAATTATCTGCAAGTTCGATCTAATTGCTAAACTAGCCCAGTTTCATGGCCGATTCACCGATTTGATCGGTTCAACTATTGGGTCGAGTCGGATATAATAACTATGATGAATACTACTCAACTAATTAACGCAGTAAATCGAGCCACTGGCAGAGTCAAGACAATTGGGAAGGTTGCAATTAATCACTTTTTTTTATAAATTTCTTGGGGTTGGTTAGAAAATGATCCTATAAAGTTTTATTTTCTTATGAAGGTCAAACTTAGACACTACAAATATTTAACTTTATTCAGCATAAGATTATTTTAAAAAAATCTCCAAAAAAATCTTTCAAATTGTTGATGAGTGTTCCAGAAAGGTGTACAATTTTTTTTTGTCCCACTATGGGGGAAATTGTGGGGAGGGAAGTGGTATTCTCAAATTTTAGAGAGTGCAAACATAAAGCAATTTGCAAAATAACATCAACTCTGGGTCATTTTGTAATTTTTCATGAATGGTTTTTATTGAGTGCGATTTTTTGTTCAGCGGTAAACCGATAACTGGCTCACCTGAATGCAATTCCGCCAATGAATCCAGCTGATACAATCGGTTCGACGGCAAGCAATTGCTAGTCAAGTTCGGACTGCGACCATTCAATCTGTACTTGAAAGCTATGCTCAAGTTGAGGAATTATAACAGGGCAAAAATAAAAAGTATGGCAGACTACAAAAACAAAGTATCAGACAAAAATGGAATTTTTATTAATTTTTTAATACATTTTTGTTTTATTTGTCATTTTAACCTCTTGTATTTTGGTTATTGAAACTTAAACAAATAAAAAATAAATTAAAATAAAATGTTTGTGAAGAAAAAAAAGGCAATATAATGCAAGGTGGAACAGAAACTGAATAGAAAGTAAAACAAAAGACCGATTGAATAATAATTTCGTATAGCCCGTCATGTCAATAATTTCATGGTGATTTAAGTTGCTAATTAATGTTAGCTGCTTAATAATTTCGTAGTGATTCAGTTTAGATATCCCATATGTCTTGTTACTTTCATCATGGATATCATAAACGTTTCAAGAAGATGAAATAGGAATTTTTTGGTTCTCCATATGAACCGGAAATGGACTGCAGTAGGAGTTGTTTTGTAGTCTTATTAAGCTACGCACTCTTTTGTTTTCATTTTCAAGTGTATTAAAGCTACTTATTCTATTCCAAACCAAAGAACAAAACTAATGACAGATAAGATGAAGAAACTCATGACAGATAAGGGAACACACATTTCCACAGGCACTTGCTGCAAAGACCAATAATAATGTGTCTTGACTCTTGAAGAAACAAAACGGAAACATCCCGATTCTCTCTCGATACTCTTGAGCCTCCTAACGTTAAAAACAACCTCTTCAATCCTTGCTCCAATTCCATTTCTCTATTGTTCAATTAGGCATTGCAATTTTTTTCCCGGTTCATGATACCCAGAAATTTGACAAATAAATCATGAAAGTAAGTTGTGCGTCCTCAATCTTCAGTTGCCAGTCACGCTCTTGACCTCTATCCTCCCTGTTTTATGGTTTGAATGGCTTAGGCCTCCATTTTGTAAAAAAATAAAAAAATAAAATCTGGTACCAAAATGTTAAATGCCTGAACTTTAGTCCAAATCCTTCACTAGTTAGGATGGTAGTCGGAAAAAATCGTAAAGACTCGGCACGATAATTTGATCGAGCGTTACACTTCTAGTGTCGGTGTCTCTTTTTTCCCTGTCATGATCTGTAAATTGGAATTGGTCATTGGCTTCAGCGACGTACTGGGACTTTTGTCTCTGCGCTTTCAGTCAAAGTAAACGGCATCTTATCCTTGTTAGTGTAGTCAGCAATTTATCACTTTTTTTTTTAAAGTAAGTTTTAATTAGAAAATTCAGTAGTATTATTTAAGTAATACAGATGATACTGAATTGGATTATTAAACAAGATATTGCTGACGGAAATCTGGATCTTGATGAATGAATGAGGTTAAACTAGGTGTTGGACCCCGCGGGTGTCGCGGGGTGCCCATATTATCTTGTTGTTGAGTGTTAACTGATGGTTTTTTTGTCAAGAAGATGTTTGTGTTAGAGATGGATTATAAACAGGAAAGTAGAAACCATGCATTTTTTATATATACATGATCACTGGGAATTGCAGCTTAATACAAAAGTTAGTTGTTATTTGTACAGAACAAAATTCTAGAAAGCTGCAGTGATTCGTAAACAAAAAGTACAATTTTTTGTTTTACATCCAACTGGAATGTAAACTGTCTAGTTTAGTTTTTGATGCTTTGTGCTTTCAGAGAAATCTGCCTCAAGATTGGATTTTCATCAAGTATAGACCTCAGCTGTTGTAGAATAGACTCTTTGAATTTGCCTGAGATAGCCATTCTATTTGCCAACTCATGTTCTGTATCATAAAAATACAGTTGCAAGTTTGATGCCTTGTCATCATCAGAAGGAAATAATGAGTTCATAAAATGGTATATCTGTCCTTGCACCCTAAAAGTATAGATACCATCATTCCTCTTGCTGAGATCTTTATCATAATGAACCCCCAGAGATGTGAAAACAAACATGTTATTATAACTCCTAACACATTGTCTGAATTCTTTTGATTCAAGAGTGTTTGCTTTATAAAGCTGTACTAATCTATCAGGCATTTTGGTTGGTGCTAATTTAATCTCTCCAGAAGCGCAGCAGAATCGAGGCGGCTCCATGTAATACCGTTTAGCATGGCAGTGAATACAATCTGGAACAAATGGCAATATACTTGGCTCTGATTGTATATGCTCTATGAGCGGTATATTTGTTCGACGTCGATGATTACCTAAAAGTATACAGCATGGCCAATTTCTGGTTATGCAAGAAATAAAAGTGTATTGACCAGTATAAATAGGATATAGGATATAGGAGCAAGATTGAAAATTGATAAGATACCCGGTCGAAGGTTTGAAGATGTTGCTATATTAGATCCTTCGTTTATGGATGAGTTTGAGGCTGAAAATTCACAGTTTCAAATGCAAGTTGAATATTTTATGGAGAAATTAAGTGATTGAGTGAGCTAGCATGTTTCTCTGATTTCATATTGATAGTCAGTGGATGATTTAAAGAACGATATCATTACTACCTGAATGAGGAGGAAGAGGAAATTGGTGTACATGAACATGTGACGAAGCTGAATTAAACAAACTCTGTGAAATTGAATCATCGTTTATAGCTGGACAAACTATATGAATAAAAAAACGATCATGGATCAATGCTATAGGTCAGCAAAAAAACGACACAAAAAAAAAGAGCACATAAGAATAAGGGAAGAATAATACATGGATCAATGCTAGACACAGTTGAAGTTGATGGAATATCTATGTTATCTGGAAGTGAAAACACAGGCAAATCCAAACAGAAACAGCCGACTGCATGTTTAGCTGGCAAATCATGATGAACAGGAACATCAAAAAGATTGTGCTCAGTTGTCTGAGGAGCAGTGGTCATAGGTAAAACCTGCGTTACTCTGGGGTTCAATAGGCAAAAGAGCTGCCTTTTTATGTCGAACTATTTTTCTAATATATCTTGTACGATCACGACGGCTTTTTTCTAAAACGATATTCATTTTCTGAGGAAAATTTACGTTTCCGACCCATATGCAATTGTAGTTAAAATTAAGAAAATTCTGTTATCCATGACATCCAACAATAACAATCAAATCATCTAAAGTTTCTCGAAGCAGACAAAACAAACGTGAATGAAAGAGATGATTACCATTTAATAAGCAAAACGATAACAAACATAGAAAATAAAACACAACGAAGTAGAATAGACTAAGCACTAAGCAGATGAGGAACAAATAAGTAAAGGGGAGATTGCTTTACCTGAACAATAAGCTTCGAATAGGATGGTTGAGCTGAGCTGCATGGAATAAACCGATAAGATCACAGAAAAGATAAATATAACATGGAAGTAGCTTACATAAGAAAAGTCAGAGTCCATGCAAACTAAAAACTTGCAACAAAGAAATGGAAATGATGGGGAAAAGAAAATGATAAAAGCATAACTTGAAGCATACGAAACAAAAATAAGCAAACACAATGAAAGAGCAAAAAGTTCACCGAAGGAACAACGTAATAAACAGCTATATTAGGCGCAAAAGTGAAGAAATACAGTAAAGGAAAACAGGCAGCACCTGATTGAAGCGAGCGAGAACGAGGAAACTGGAAACAAAAAACACCAAAAGCTGGCACAAGATGGAGGCTTAACAGAAAGACGCAGGACAAAAGAGAAACATCTCTAAAACATTATAATAGTTGCTGTTATGCACGTAGAGAAAGTCAAAGCAAAGAAACTGTGGGTGGAAAAGCTAATGTAGATATAGCACACAGAGTGCTTAACTATACAAAGAGCCTGTGCTTTGGTAAAAGCAAGCACATGCATGCATTAAATCCATGTAATGATTGCAAGTCCACTATGATAAAAGAACCAAACGAAGCAAGCATATCTATAATCACCGAACGAACCAAATATAGCTGTAATGCGTAAGCTGTAAGCACGTAAGATGAAATTTGACCCAGTGCAATCTGCAAGGTGTAATCTGTAAACATGCAACACGTAAGGCAAAATTTGACTGTGTAATTTGTAAGCATGCAACACGTAAGGCAAAATTTGACAGAGTCAAAGGAGAATTGCGCCACGTAATGTGAAAGTAACAGAGAAGAACCACGTAAGATCTGATGAGTAGCTTTAATTTAATAATCGAGAGAGTTTAATTTAATGGATTTAATAGGGTAGACAACTAATTATCATTTTGTATTGAGCACATATATGTTATGACATTCAATCTTTTAGCTAACAATAGCTAACAAATTTTATCAATCTTATCTACTCAATCTTAAAACGCAAAAGCTTTAATTTAATAATTGACTATTTTAGTGTAATATTTTTTGAATTTTACTTACAAATATTTATGTTTTTAACATAAATTAAATGATTTAAAGTAAAATGTCCATAAATAGCTAGTACTTTGTTCATGTAATGAAAAAAACCAGTAAAGAGCCGGTATGCTATGGGCAATTTCTTTTTTTTTTTTTTTTTTACATATTTAATTTATGTTCAATACAAAACCTATGAGTTTCCCTTTTGTAAAAAATATTAGTGTAACACTTTTCCAATTTTAGTTACAAACATTTATGTATTTTACACAAATTAAATAATTCAGAGTAAAATGCCCATAAATAACTAATATTTTGTTCATGTAATGCAAAATACCCATAAAGAGCTGGTATGTTATAGGCAATATCTTTTTTACTTTCACACATTTAATTTATGTTAAATACAAAATCTATCAGTTTCCTTTTCTGAAAAATACGAGTGTAACACTTTTTCAATTTTCGTTATAAACATTTATGTATTTAACATAAATTAAATGTGTGAAAGTAAAAAAGATATTGCCTATAACATACCAGCTCTTTATGGGTTTTTTGCATTACATGAACAAAATATTAGTTATTTGCAACGGGCCAACCACTAAAAAATATTATTTGCAATAAAAAGACGAAAAAAGGCCAAAATCTCTAGAGAAACAACAACGAAACCAGTGTAAAAGGGTAAAATTGGAATAAGGCGACCAAAATTTAGAATTTTAGTTATAAATATTTATATATTTAACATAAATTAAATGTGTGAAAGTAAAAAAGATATTGCCTATAACATACCAACTCTTTATGGATTTTTTGCATTACATGAACAAAATATTAGTTATTTGCAACGGGCCAACCACTAAAAAATATTATTTGCAATAAAAAGACGAAAAAGGCCAAAATCTCTAAAGAAACAACAACGAAACCAGTGTAAAAGGGTAAAATTGGAATAATGCGTTACATGAACAAAATATTAGTTATTTGCAACGGGCCAACCACTAAAAAATATTATTTGCAATAAAAAGACGAAAAAGGCCAAAATCTCTAAAGAAACAACAACGAAACCAGTGTAAAAGGGTAAAATTGGAATAATGCGACCAAAATTTAGAACCTGTGGCCGACAAGCATGAAACAGAGATGACCCCACAATGAGTTCCATCACACCTACAAAGACAAATGAGGACAAAATCAACCCTCAAATTACAAAATAACCAGTGAAAATCACTGTTGCCAACCCTTCGGCGCTTTATGTAGTTAGAGATACTATTTGAATTCGGTGAAATGGAATCAACACAATCACCAAGAAACTCATCCTCTCTTTTTTTCCCACTTGGTTTTTGAAATTTGTGATAGCATCCTGGGCCCGTTTGCGCCGCCCATCTTATAGTAATTGCTCATGGAGCCAGGACAAAACACACGGGACCATGATCAACTCGACACTCAAATCCTTTTTTTTGTAAAAAAAATTATTAATTGCAAAAGTCAAGTCGTGAGGAGTAGCTCATGAAAAATGTCAAAGGACTTGGTTATAGTATCAGTACAGCTAGTTTATGATCTGATCAAATTTGCATTTCAATTGGTTTGGGTAATTAGCGTTCCAACTTTTTACCTCATCCATGATCATGATCATCTTCTATATCTTATTCATCATTTCATTTTGTTCGTCTGCCGATGGTGATGAATTTAGAAACTGTAGCCTTCTTTACAACTGTGGAAGCTTACGGGGAATAGGATATCCTTTCTGGGGAGGTGATAGGCCGGACTATTGTGGTCGCCAAGACTTTGGCCTGGACTGTGTAGATGGTCAATACACAACCATGCTGCTTGATGATCTGTCTTATGTGAGTTATCGTGTATTGGCAATTGATGCATCAATTCCCAAGATGACCATTGCTCGCGATGATCTTTGGAATAACATTTGTCCAGACCAATATTCATTCCATAACAATGCCACCTTGTCAAACTTTAACCTCAACTCAGCTAGAACTGCAAGGAATCTCCACATATTCTATGGTTGTACTGCTGAGGTTATAGCCAAAGTACAAGTTCAAAGTAATGTTACTTGTTCAATAGACGGAGAAAAGGGTGGAGTTTTTTTTTGCAGATGAATTTGTATCTGGTGTTGAGGGATGCAAGGTCAGCTTGGTTGTTTCGATCCAGTTGGCAGCTTACAATGACCTCTGGGACAGGAAAATCACACTTGAAGAAGCTTTGACTCAGGGGTTCGATGTCGAGTATAATGCTGCCCTTGCGGCCTGCTCTTCATGTGAGGCTTCTGGGGGAAAATGTGGATCTAATTCAACATATGAATTTATTTGCATTTGTCAAGATCAGTCCTATCCGATGCTTTGTCCTAAACATGGTATGGTGTGTTTTTCTTACTCATGTTTTTATTTAAATCTTTAATTTCATATTGCTTTCTTTTGTCCTAGTAATCATTTTTGGGCATGCAATGATATGAACCTTCACCGTAGACAACATCACTCGGAAAATGTTGAAATTTAGTGCAAATAGGATTCTGAAAAGTTTGAAGCAAACGCAAACGTTGGAGATCGTACGCAAACGATTGCAGGTGCTTGGAATTGTGCCTTTTGCACCTCGACCAAACCCAAAACTTCTTCTAAACTAGACCAAAAAAAAAATGAACCTATGTTGAAAGTTCCAGAAAGAATTTGTATCCCTTTTAGTTTTGTACTTCAAGTACCTGATGTTCAGAAAATAAAAGATTACTGAGAAATACCTTTCAAAAGGCAGTCTTTGCTTGTGAAAACATGGTAGAATACGAAACAACATGAATGTGCACTGCAGTAGGTGATGCTAGGAGCTTGAAAAGTTACCTCAATGCTCAAGCTAATTGTCATTGTTTTAGTCAGGAAGGTCAGTAAATAAAGAATAACGTGATGACCACAATAACCTAAAGAAAGTGGCGATAAGCGATAGTAAGATAAAGAAAACTTGTGGCTATTGCAGCAACCGAGAGAGAGAGGTTTACGAAACATGCTATGCATATGTATCAGAATCTGCTGTTAAAATTCAAAAAGGTGTTTTGCTGTCGGTCCTGTTATCCTAATATAGAATTGACCAGCAACTCGTGCCTCTTTTTCACTTTTGGTTGAGATATCTGAATTTTCTGTAGCTACTTCATGACTTAGCAAATGGATTCGAAATGGTTAAAGTACCAAGTACAAAGAAGAACAGCCAAATAACCTTAAATGAGACCAATTGTCACTTGTCTTAGCTCTTCCTTACTGACATTGTATTAGTCTTGCAGGAAAGGGTCATTTGTTGAAGGTGCTCATTGGTATGTTATCTTTCCATCATTGTTTCAAAGGAATTGCCGATATCAGTGATTAAAGAATATTAAGCAGTATCCCTTCTGTGGTTGCAGGAGCAATGATGGCTGGAGTGGGAATACTGTCCTCAATAATATGCTACTGTTATTATAAGAAAAGAAAAACTGATAAACAACTCGAGGCCTTGATCAAGGAATTTGGATCCCTCACACCAAGAAGATACAGCTACTCTGATATCAAGAAAATGACGAAGTACTTCAAAGAGAAACTTGGTCAAGGAGGGTATGGTGAGGTCTACAGGGGAAATCTTTTTGACAAACGTCCTGTTGCAGTAAAAGTCCTGAGAACCAACAAAGGCAATGGCGAGGAATTCATTAATGAGGTTGCAAGCATCAGCAGAACTTCCCATGTTAACGTTGTCACTCTGCTAGGATTTTGCCTTGATAGTACCAAAAGAGCTCTCATATATGAATTCATGCCAAATGGATCGCTTGATAAATATATCCATCATGAGTCTGAGCCCCACTTGGGATTCGAGAGAATGCATGAAATTGCAATTCGAATAGCTCAGGGACTTGATTACTTGCATGGAGGTTGCAACACACGCATTTTACATTTTGACATCAAACCTCATAATATTCTTCTTGATGAAGAATTTTGTCCTAAGATATCTGATTTTGGGCTGGCAAAGTTATGCGCCCGAAAAGAGAGTATTGTGTCGATGTTAGGAGCTAGAGGAACAATTGGATATATTGCTCCTGAAGTGTTCAGCAGGAACTTTGGTGGTGTCTCCTATAAATCTGATGTCTACAGTTATGGTATGATGATTCTGGAAATGGTTGGAGGAAGGAAAAATGCAATAAATGTTCAAGTAAGCAATTCTAGTGACATATATTTTCCACATTGGGTATACAATCTTGTTCTGACTGATGAAGACCTAAAACTGCATGGTCATACCATGACAAAAGAAGAAAATGATATTGCAAGGAAGATGATATTGGTAGGACTATGGTGTATACAGACTAATCCAGCACATAGGCCGACAATGAGCAAGGTTATTGATATGTTGGAAGGTAGCTTGGAGTCCTTGGAAGTTCCCCCAAAACCATTCTTATCTTCACCTTCAAGATCAGGAGTAGTATCTTTGGAGATTACAATGCTGCCACAAAAAGTTTTTTCTACTTCTTCCAGTTCACCTGCTGATTCTGGCACCAGATAAGCATAACAGAACTGTAAGGCTTAAGCTTAAAGTAGACATTTTTGCATAGTTGCGATCTTTAATGCATCAAGGAGAAGTTGTGCAATACGTGGATGCAGACTTGAAAAAGTTCGTCAATCAACCCAAACTTCACTAGTTAAGTCTGCAATAATTGTCTCTGTTGATCACTGGTAAGCACAAGAAAATTGGCTGGATGACAAAGACTCTGATTTTTATGGACTTCTGGCATTTAAATTCAAGATAGTAGGAGAATGACAAAAAAAAAATTCCTTTACTTTGTAACTCTTTTATAGCAAAGAAGAAGATTTCGTAGCGCTGCAGCCCATAATTTGGGGCAGTATGCCGAGATCTGTGGGTTTAATATGAGAAAAGTACTATTTCCTTGGTTCAGTTGATAATGTGATTTTTTCCTTTAATCCTCTCGTGGTTTCCTACTTTCTGTGTGCAAAATTAGTGCGTCTCTGGAGAAAACTCCTCTAATATTAGGAACAGTTGAAATTGTTAGTAAAATTTGCTTCTAACATATCCATCTTTGTGGGGCAGATGGGATAAAAACAGTCCTTAAAAAATAAAAAGAAAATTTTGCAGAGTCTTCAATAGATGCAGGTCATGATTTTGATATGTCAAACCTTGTAATAATCATTTTAGTCAATCACATGATTTACATTTTTGCTACATAGTACACATCTTGAAATGATTTTAAGTAGAACCGGACTCTTTCAATCAGATTTAAGTCTCCTAAATTAGTAGCCTCAACCATGGAAAAACACAAACTCTGGCAGCCTTTAAAATGTAAAATTACAGCTCTGCAATTACAATAATAATGACTTTCCTTTTCATTTAACTTGAACTTTGGTAGATGTAACGGTTCTGGAACAGTTGTTCTCACTTGATGAAACAGTTGACAGAATTTTGTTTTGCTCTTGGGTATATATATAGCTAACTGACATAGTTTGCAGTTCCACAGTGGATAGCATCAACATAAGAGATGAAAATGGGTGCATTGGATACATGTTAATTTGTAGGACAAAAATGAATGAGTGGAATCAATTTAACTAATGCTGCTACATCCTTATATGTACAGCTCCTTTAAGGTGCAAATATCTGGCAGATCGAAGCAAGCAAAATTCAAAAATCACAAAAGGGATATGACATACATGCGACTAGTTAGGGGAAGCCAGGCAGATATTCAGGTACTGGTACTAGTGGTTGTTGAACTGCTCACCGAATTTGTAAGGATTGAATCTGGCGAGCTAGTTAACTGATTAATTTTCAACAATACAACGTCATCTGCTTGATTATCCATTTCTTCTTTCTTTTCTGCATTGTAATCCTTGTTTTGGATTTCCAGCAGTGCTTGTAGAACCTCCTGCATAGTCGGTCTCATGTCCCTCTCATATTGTAGACATTGAAATGCTAACTCTGCTACATCCTCAATCATTGCTGTCAGCTTGTAATCTGAACCATATCCAAGATTATCATCCACAAGTTCATGCAACAAGTGGTTTTGGATCCTGTGAACAGCTATGTTTGACAAATTTATTTCATGCCGATGCCTGGTGATGTCTACTGCTGGCATTGATGATATGAGCTCAATCAACACAACTCCAAAACTGAAGACATCACTCTTATCTGTAAGGTGATAGCATTGATGATACTCAGGGTCTACATAACCTGGAGTTCCTTGTGGAGCAGTTGAAACATGTGTAGCATTAATTGGGAAGAGGCGAGATAGACCAAAATCTGCTACTTTAACACAGAAATTGTCGTCCAGGAGGATATTGTTGGTCTTAACATCTCGGTGGATAACATCAGAGGCATGTAGGTAGGACAATGCACTTGCAGTTTCTATGGCAATGTTCATTCTAGTACTCCATGGAAGGGATCCGGGCCTTGCTAAGGGACCGTGAAGGTGATCAGCAATGGTGCCATTAGGAATGTATTCATACACAAGCAAGAGTTCACGGCAGTGGCGAGAAGTGCATCCATATAAAGAAACCAGATTCCTATGGCGCAAGCGTGTCAAGATTTCAACTTCATTCCTGAAGTGCTCAACTCTTTTGAAGTTGCTTTCATATAATCGTTTCACAGCAACTTCACGCCCATCTCTCAGTTTGCCTAGCCAAAATGTGCATTGGTATATATGTCAATCAAATTGTGATGCCCATAAAGATCAGGCATACAGTAATATTCATGTCTGCTCACCTTTGTAGACAGTGCCAAAGCCGCCATCTCCAAGCTCTTTATTCGGATCAAAACAATTAGTGGCTTCTTCTAGTTCGGTGTAAGCAAAGATGTGTACTCCAAGGTAGCCGCTAGCCCTTTCAGGATCTATCACTGAAGAGGAATAGGAAGAAATGTCTCGAGATATCAACATTGAACCAGAATCGTGGTTTTTGTGCCTACGTTGATAGACAAAGAATATAACGCAAAGAATAAGGGCACTCCCTGCAGCAGCACCAAAGCCTGCAAAGAAATTGTAGGATTTAAAAGGAATTATCTATAGTTATTGACTCTTAAATAAACAAAATAGTTAAAGAAAGGGACAAAAACTCAGTCCAAGGAGGAAGGGGATTTACCAATTCCAATCTTCAGTCCCAAATTTAACCCTCCACCTGCAGTATTCAATCAAACGGAACAATATGTAAGTACCATTTGGAAAGATTACAATTGTTGGTAACATGGTAAATCATGCTGAATAGCGGTTGATGGGCACAATCAATTCCATAACTTTAGGTACAGCAAGAAAAGGATTGTTTTTCAAGCAACACACTAAATAGATCAAAGTATTGAAATAGACAGCATTCAACCAATAATACTTGTATTGAATTTCCAAAAAGTTTTGTTTATCCTAGTAAGCTCTACTGTTGTTACCATCATCACAGGTTTTTGGATGGATATGGTCATCACAGTAACACACAAAATCATCGTAATAAGAACCGCATTCCCCTCCACTCCTCCTGCATTTGCTGCAGCTATCTCCATCCCACTGCAGAACAAATCCTTTCTTCAAAACATCAGTATAATTCATTGCTAACAATCTTTTCAGGCTGTCAGTAGTTACTGGCGCATTCACTGGAGGCTGACATGACTGTTCCGAATAGTTTCGTTGATCAAGGAGTTCAGTATGGAAAACAGCAAAAGCATGATGACTAGCATTACATGCACAATCCAAGGGGTATTTCTCTTCCTGATACGGCTCAGTGCAATTGTAGAAGAAGAAAAGATCCACAGTTTCAGGGCCATAGCTGAATGGAGTTCCTCCGGTGCTAAAATTATGTTGTGGGGCTGGACACTGGTCACTAACATTATACAACTCAGCTTGAGATAGCAAAATTGAATCATTCGTGTAAAATATGTCCCTGATGATATAATCATCATCAGAGATTTTCAGGATGGGGTTTCTGTCCCTGCAGGTGACATTGAACATTGGTGAGCCACAATATGACTCTTGCCTGCCTGGGATCCAGAAGGGATATTCTATGTTCAATCCATTCCCACAGTTTTGAGGCTCGCAAGCACTTGAATTTGTGTAAAAGCATGCAATTCTATCCATCAAAATAATGAAGAGAATGGCTATAATTTGAATACAATGACATTTGTGGGAAGTTCTATGATCCATTAGTATGGAAAAGAAAGAAAATAGCAGAAGAGAGCCAAGGGATGTATGAAGTTAGGCACTGGAGTGCAAGGAAGCATTGGCATCAAAATTCAAAAAGTAGCTGCCTTGATCAAATTTCAAAAGGAAGTGTTAGCTTCACCTTTGGTTTGTTGTACCTTACGAACTGAGGTTTGACATTCTTCAGAAGAAGGACAAATTTTTCTTCAAGACTTTAAGCAAAAACAAAAGAATAATTATCTCACTCTTGGTGAATGAGGTGTAGGTGAATGATAGACCACCTCTTGTTTTTGAATAATTAGTCACCAAGAGAATAATTATTCAAAAGCAAATGGTCTATCATTCAACCGGGGTGTAGGTGAATGATAGACCACCAAGATGACACGATGTTTGACTTCATGAATACCCTAGTACAAGACTTCTTCTTGTTGGTTAAAAATTTTGGAATATTATCCCAGCATAAATAAGGAATACTTAATCCTTGCACCCCTATTCCTAACTTTTTTTTTTTTTTGGAAAGGCTCTATTCCTAACCTTGATCTCACTCTTTATTACTCTCTATTATCACCCCCCCCCCCCCCCCCAAAACAACAAGGCCTAAGTTTAAGCAGTAAAAAATCTTTTATGCATTGAGTAGCATGATGAAACCTCGGATTTTTTTACAGTGACAAATGCTCATTGCTTTTCCCTAATAATAACAAAAATTAAAAAGCCAATGCAGATATGGTCCATGAGCAAAGGTTGAAGCGTGACCAAGTGGAGAACAATTCAGGCCAATGACGTTTACAAACACTACTATATCCTATAAAAAGTCCAAACTAATGATGGGAAACCAATTGCAAATGGAGATACGAACAAACTAATAAATATAAAACGTCAAAAAGTTTCTTTCATATGCACGACTTTGCATGAAGTTCGCTTCAGGGATTGGGTTGGTGAACCGAAAGGGACGAAATGAGGATGGAGGAAGCTCCCCTGGTCAACCTTTTCACATGGGGCTTAATCATGGAACTGGAAAATGACCGTTTACTTGGACAAAGACGACCACGCGCTTACGCAACTCTTCTCTGTCCTGGCTTTTTCTTGCTTTTCCGGTAAGTTCCGATCCCGGGAAAGATGTAATAGCAGTATTTGTTTTCTTCCCACGGAGGGTATCATAATGATTTGATAGCTATTCGGCTGTGCCTACGTGCTCGCTACAGGTGACTTGTGAACTTCTAAAGCGTGTCTAGTGTCTACCATGGACATCTTCAACAATTAAGAGCCCATTCAAATTGTTATTTTTAGAAATTTTTGTAAAAAAAAAAAATTATAGAAATTTAATATATTTAAAATAAAAAAGATGATTAAAAGATGTGACTGTAAAAATTATTTAAGAAAAAATGCCAATCCAAACACATTAATGATCACATTATGATGACAAAGATTGTGATATAAATATGATGCATAGTATGTGAACTCAAGAATGATATTATTGTCCTAAGTATCTTTCCATGAGAATCATTTTATGACGCATTATGATAAGTAGATTTAAAATGCAAAGTCTACTGCCCTAGTTTTATTGAGGCAATATCTTAAGGCACATTGCAACGAATAAAATTAAAAAATATTTGCAAATTTTATTTTTCTTCAAAATTAGAGTATTAAAAAGAGAAAATTTCTATGGGTTGAAGTAATTTTTGAAAACAAGAAAACATAAATAAAGGAAAGAGAAAAAGATAGCCGCTGGTATGTGTAATTTTAAAGATTGTTAGAAAGTGGAGAAATATAAAAGAGTTGTAAGTCAACATGGAGAAGTGATAATGATGAAATATGGACAGAAAATTACAACTTTTTTTTTTTGGGGTCAATGATATGTCAAGCTCGTCTACTTGGTTCCAGGGACAAGGCCATCAAAAAGATCCATTCCCAGTTTGATCTGGGCCTAAAACTTTTCGTCCATCATCTCAAGTCTAAGGGAATTTGCATAAGAAGATTAACGAATGCTAGCCTATTGGCAAAGCCTTTGAGCCTGGTGTTACCCATTACCCTTGTTGGGCTGCTGAAAACCCACTACTTAAATTGGAGATCAAGCCCACCTTAGCTCCACAGCTATACAATTAGGCCCATACAACTATCACCCCAAAATTCTTGGAGAAAGGAAGATAAAGGAATTAAGGAAATCCCAGAAGATCTCATCCACGGACGGTGGACATTTTCAGACTTCAGAGCCAACTAAGGTTTAGAAGCAATAGAACAAGAAAGATTCAATAAGAGATTCAAGAAAATCATATAAATGTGGATATCATTTGAAAATGAATAGTTCAGAAAGAATCGAACTTTCGATCGATTTTGATACTTTGGATCCTATGGACGAAGACATGGCCTCTCTGGATCCCCTTTAATTTCATTCGGAGGAGGAAGCTTATAAAGATTGTATTGATACCGTCCCCAAGAACCCCCAAGCATGCACTTGACTATTTGAAACATACCACATTGAATGGAACTAAGCCAATTGAGCCTAAATTTCACAAAACACAACAACATATCGCTTCTTACCTTATTTAAATCATAAACTTTCACTGATGA